TCTCTCTCTCTCTCTCTCTCTCTCTCTCTCTCTCTCTCTCTCATTCCCTCTCACCCTCGCTTTCTCTCTCTGGGAGAGTAGCACCTAATTCCCCCTAATTCTCTAATCCCGGGCAGAGCCGCTGCACATACAGTCAGCAATGACCGAGGAAGTACACACAAAGTGAGGCCTGAATGATTTTCTTTTTTTTTTCAGTCATTTCTTAAGCCAATATCAATAACTGGTGGAGGAAAATAAACAAAAAACAACATATATACCTTTGAACCTGTGAGTATTTCTTTGAGTTATAAAAGAAGAAAACTCATAGTCAGATCTTAAAGTAACTGGGAAAAAGGAGCAAATATCTTCTTGTAAAACCTATTTACACATAATGTACTTTTAAAAAATCAGCTTCAACACTAGAACCAGCTATAGTTTAAAACCTTTGACAGGATACAATAACTTTATCCTAACAAAAAACAGCAGTTTACTTGAGATCTCATATATCTAGAGAATGTATTATTTTATATATCTAAACAAAACCAGAAGAAACTATAATACATTGTGGTATCCGAACAGGTGCAGTAGTTCATAGTGCTCCCTGACTTTGTCAAATCCATCTACATGTCGTTACAGGAGGGTTGTTGACATGGTGGCTAATCAATGAACCCGATACCTTTAAATGAGTTGATTTTAACAGATTTTCCATATGTTTTATGCACTAGACAATGATTGTTGAATGTTCCCCTGTCATATATGATATACACATACATACACTCACCAGTCACCTTATTAGGTACACCAGACTGAAACCACTTCTGCCTGCAGAACTGCCTTAACTCCGAGACACAAATTCAACAAGGTGCTGGAGACATTCCTCAGAGATTTTGGTCAATATTAACATGACAGCATCACACAGTTGGTTCACATTAGTTGGCTTCACATCCATAAAGTCAAACTCCCATTCCACCACATCCCAAAGATGCTCTACCAGATTGAGATCTGCTGACTCAATGACATGTTCAAGAAACCAGCTTGAGATGATCTGAGCTTTGTGACATGACAAGGCAGCCATCACTGTGGTCACACTGTGGATGCTGTGGTCACAAAGGGATGCACATGGGATGGCTCAGTTGGTGCTAAGGAAATATTCCCCACACTGTCTGTGTAGGTTCTCCGTCATCCCGGTAATGGTAGTCTAAGGAGCTTGGAAAGAAAGCGCCTGGACTTTTTACAGTTTAATCAAGAAACTTAAAGAAGTCCAGTGGCTTTCTTTCCCAGCTCCTTGGATATTCCCCACACCATTACAACACCGCCAGCCTGAACCTTTGATACAAGGCAGGACGGAGCCATGCTTTCATCTTTATATGTAGATGTTTTCCTTAAAGAGCAGTTGAACATGTGTGCCTGAAAAAATGACTAATGAGTGTATTTTTAAGCTTATTTTATCTCAGCACTAACTATAACTAACTAATAGCTATAAAAGAAGATAACAAGCATATCTAGGAGCTTGTTGACCATCACTCCATCCAGTACTGTGCATTTAAAATCATAGGCTGACCAGGGCGCAGAGGAGGTCCACGGCTTCCAGGATGAGCTCCTGGTGTCCTATCCTGGTGACACCCAGCTCCTCCAGCTCCTGATGGGTGATGTGAAGCAGCTGCTCTCCCCCCATCTGCTCCCGCTCGAAACTCTTGATGTACTGCTGGAGACAGTCATCCAGACCTAAGGAGAGTGGAGACAGACACAGATTAGGATGTGTTGATGTATCTGTCGTCTATCACTTTGCGCAGCTGTATATAGAAAAATATTTATATTGGCTTCAATCAGTGATTTAGAAGGCTTTCTGCTCCGAGACAAAGATGGAAAACACGATTAGGAAATATTGTCCCAGACATGACTGACTGACACAAGAATGAGCTCCTTTCCCGAGACCGAATCCTGGCTTACTTTGATGCAACACTGTAGTCAGGCATAAAAACATGCAAATTGTGGCTGCCAAATAGAAAGTAAAGATAAACAGCAGCCTCAAGGCAGGAGCTCTGACTGATCTATGAGCAACTTACTGACAGCTAGAAAACACATCTGTTGGTACACCTTTTCTGTACGGGATGATATGCTTGATGAGGGAAAAAAAGTCTTTTCTCACCACTGCTTTTAACATTCAAGAGGCAATAAAAGAGATTTTAGAGCAAAAAGAATCTATTTCACACATATTTTGCATAATTAAAGAGCCATTCGAAAGATAACGAGGAAGATGCGAGCAATAAATCGACGTATGACTTGCTGCTGTTACGCTGCGGCTGCCTGCTTTGCACAGAGCCAATCAGCTGCACATAGGCGTGGTGGATACAATTGATCAGTAAGAGCCTCTGGCTTTGATTCAAATATAGTCAGCAAAAAAGGCGCATCTCCCCACAGACCTAATGAACGAGCCCGCTCCAAAACGAGCAAACACAGAGCAAAAAAGTTGCACAAGAGTAAGCAAATCCATGTGCACACACATGCACAGAACCACAGTTAAACACATAAGGTACACTCTGTCCCCGTACGAGCATGGACTTCAAACACAATGCAATTACAGCTAGTGTTGCTCTTCAGGGTCTTGACACCTCTGTAGATGCCCGTTGTTAAAGCCTAGCAGAGCTGTGAGGAAAACACTGATGCCCGAGGGATGCAAAGCTTAAGAGCAGACAGTGCGGTAGCACCTCAACAAAGTCACCACACATGTGTATATAGAGTACACACACTCGAGCGAGATATCTCTTGGTCTTCGTGTGCCATGGGAGATACCAGAACGGGGGGGAAAAGCCTGCTGTTGCTCTGAGTGACATGCAGACAAAGTGTTGTTACATATAGCACAGCAGAGCCATTTCAAAAGCAACACATCAGTGACACCGGTAGCAACACAAGTGGAAACTGTTTAATAGAATAAGTTCCCCGTGGAAAAGCCCTAATGGCCCACATGTAAGCATGTGTTTCACAGGTAATGATACAGTGTTGCAACGTGGAAGGCTTGTGTGATAACTTAGTCTGCACATGAATTAGGTGCATATGAGGACTTGTTTTCATATAGGCAATATTAGTATACATCAATACCGTTATTCAAGTACTATATTAGAATTATTATGTTTCACACAATACAAAATTGAGGTACTGGTGCTTCTACCAGTTGTGTATTCCTGTTTTAAACAATTCATGCTTTCAAATTCAACCGAACAACTACTACTGTTATAACTTATTATTTTTCTCATTTTATATATACGAACTTATTGGAAGTTACCCGTTTACTTTTTAATGCACAGGTACAATGCATAATCTGTACTTTTTTTCTATATATTCTATTTAAACGTCTTCCAGTAGCCTGATCTGTCTGCACACTACAACCTGGGTTTGCCACCTTTATCTGTACTTTAATCTTAATAACTGTACAGTACTCTGTTTTTGTAACTATTGTCCATCATGTAAATATTTTTTCCTGTAAAAATTGTGTGTGTTTGTTTTCTGTGTCCTGTTCTGTTTGTATATGTGTTTTTCTTTTGCTGCTGTGGAACAATTAAAGGATTATTCTATCCTAAATAAAAAAATTATTTATTTATTATTTTTTTTTTAAATCTTAAGAAATTATAACATTAAATGCAAAACATTTGATACACCTTTAAGATATAAGACATGGCCAGGTTAGACATATTAGATGGTGTGTAAACTGTTTTGAACTATTTCTCTCCATTTTGCTAGGAATATAGGAAATTAAAATAATTAAAATACAGGATATGTAAGGTAAAAAAAAAAAAACCCAAAACCCCCAGTTTGTATGAGTCAATATTTGATTTAACAACCTTTACTCTTCATCACAGACTGAACTCTCCCAGACAAACTTTCTTGTCATTTCTTTAAGTCGTCTTCAGGAATAGTTCTCCAGGCTTCTTGAGGAACATTCAAAGCTTTTCTTTGGCTGTTGGCTGTGTTCTGTTCTGTTCTGTATAAAGATGATCCCACACTGCTTCAATAATGTTGAGGTCAGAGCTCTGGGCTGGTGAATCCATGATTGATAGTGTCATGGATTGGTGTGTTTTTCTTTCCAGTAATGCTTTTACTGCATCGTTAGTGTGTTTGGGATCATTGCCGTGCTGAAAAGTGAAGCCGTTGCCAGTGAGATTCATTGATTCATTAATTTCTGCGCTCATAATTTCATCAATTCTGACAAGATCTCCAACACCACTGACTGAAATGCATCCCAAACCATGACAGAGCCTCCACCCTGTTTTTTATAGATGGCTGCAAACACTCACTGTCGAGCCTCTACCTTGACCATACATACATGATGATTTGAACCAAACATTTTACATTTGGATTCATCAATATATCAGACCTGTTGCCACTTATTTTCAGTGGTGTTCTTGTGTAATCTGGCATGCCTCAGCCTGTTTCTCCCTCCTCCTCCACAGAGACCATTTCTGGTCAGTACAACAGTAAATGGAACAACTGAAGGGCCAGATGCATCTTTTGGTCCTCCGTCAGGTCTTCACTGGATTTTTTCTTGTTTCTTAAGAACATGCACGAATTTCAGATACTGTTCAACTGATGCACATTTTTTTTTGGCCTGCTGCTTTTTCGACTTCTCCACTTTCCTGAAAAATTTTTTCACACTGCACAAGAATATTCCAAACATGACAAGTTTTAGTTCTTTGAGAATCATGGTGTTGGTGCAAAAATACTATTTCCTGCGTTTGGCAGTTTTTAAAGATTCAGCTAAAGAAATTGTATGTCTTTGCATTAGGCTACAGGTAACAAAGAGATACAGTTTAACACTTTGCTAAGTTGTCTGCTGTGTTTAGATGCAGTGCTGGTTTGCCCTTTGAGTTGTTTCTTTTTATCCTCGAATGATTCATTGGTCACTGTTATGTGGCTTAACAAACAAACTGAAAAAACATCCCTCTGAAAATGGTCAGATATAAGAACTGGAGTTTAAATGAGTGAAAAAGCAGCCAATGTCTAAAGAAAAACCTTGAAAAGAGCTTCAGAACAGCTGGAGAACTATTACTAAAGGCCACTTAAAAAAATTACAAGAAACTCCATTTGTTTTACAAGACTGCTCTTGTTGACAAATGCTTGAGTAAGGCCAAGTGCAGTGCTATATTCTAGTATTATATTCAAATGAGCTTGTTTTTCTTTGAATACACCCTGTTCATTGCTGTGGTAAGACAGTATGGTACAGTCTCATAAATCATCACCAGAGCTGGCAGTGACACGCACAAGTGGACTCGCTCTGCAGTCTCCTTTAGCCGGCCGCCAGCTTTAGAAGTAGAGAACATGGAGATAAAGCAGAAAGACAGCCTGCAGCTAATAAATAGGGTGCCTGAATATTTTACTCCTGACCCTCACTGTGAGAGGCGAGGGAAGAAAAAACTGTGCTGGCTATCTCACAGATGGAAGTCTTTATGTCCACAAGAAAGGTGAGCCTTCCTCCAACTAATACCTCTCTATCATTTCTTTTTCTGCCACTCCCTCCGTGCCCTTGTCCTTCCCCATTTCTCCTTCCGGCGCAAGGGAAACACATTTTAATAGGGACCACGTGATGCAATCGGGCCCCTTTATAGCTTATTCCATCACGACGCGAATGAGATTTCTGGTGACAGTGTAATATCTTCAGTGCACATTTAAGATCGTTTGAGGGTGGAAGAAAGAGTTTTAGGCACTTAAGATTATCTCTGTCCGGGATTACACGAAGAAGGAGAAGACACCAAGACAGCCTAAATCCACACAAGAGGCTTGGACACTCTCCCTGCCAAGTATCCCAAAAATAATTTGGAATAATTGGAATAATTGCGTAAATCAATTTTTGATTATATTTGTTTTTTTTTATTCTGGACTAATTGATAAATAAAAAATATTATAACCAACTCATTGTGCTTGAAGTGCATAAGGATTATAATCACAGTACTGTAAATTATATGGAGATGTGATGAATGAAGAATCAGAGGTCCAGGCTGACTAAGAGCGCCTCTGGGGAAAAACCACCTACTATACCATAGCTATAGTATTTCCCACCTCTGCAACACACACACATTTAGATGCAAAGAGATTATGCACACACATTGTAAGGGGATTTTTTTTTTTCAAATATATGCACTTACACACGCTCGCACTCGCATATGCATTAAAACGCACGCATACATCCACAGAGTGACACACAGCTGCTAGCCAATCAGATGAGTCAGAATGGCCCCCCCCCCCCAGAGGACAAACAGCTGATCCGGGTTCATCTGCCGAGTTCATATGCCAGCTGGAAATAGCACATGGCGCACAAACGCTGCCACAAACCCGCGCTATAAGAGACGAGCTTTCTCAGCACCATAACCTTACCAGATCGTTAATGATATTAAAATGTTGTATACTCAGATGACACAACTGCGCCACAGCGAGTGTGTGAGATGCAGTCACTGCATCCTCGCATCAGACAGTTTGCAGTGTTCAGAAAATATGAAAACTGACCTCACTCTCCTGTGCAGGACAAACAAGCCCAACCGAAATACACAAAAAGCAATTTTGAATGTGAAATGTCTTTCATAGTCATAAGCTTGTTCTCCTACCCTCTGGGAAATATTCTAAGGAATAAGATGTTTTATCATAGCTTATTTGTAATTATTCTCCAGTGGGCTCAGGCCACTCAGTGTCTTTCCAGTAACTGTTGTTTATTTTCCCAACATAGTTCAGGAACTGTA